CTTCCTTGTTCTTTTGAGGTTTTTAAGAAGTGGAAGTTCATTTAGAAGTGGCTTCGTTAGCTTCTGCTCCCTGTTAGTTTATGTACCTTCAGTTTGAGTGAGCTTGGAGAGCTTGGACCGAAGAAACCCAAGGCTCTAACAATCAGTCCGGTATTCAGTACAGAGTAGCAACCTTCATCTTTTCAGGAAGACTTTACAAAGCACTCCAGAAGAACCCTGCCCTTTGGGGAAGCAAAACCCCGTTCTGTTGGCTGCAATTTCCCCTGTCCCTTGAACAATACTGGTTCATAGTAGGCACTCAAGATTTGTTGAATAGATAAAAGCACTCATTGGAAGAATGATCATTTTGTGTGTGTGCCTGATGGAGGCTAGAAGTTGATATTGGGTGTCTTCTTCAATTGCTGTCCATCTTCTTTCTTTAAGTCTGTGTCCCTCACCAAACCTGGAGTTTGCTAATTGCGCTATACTGGCTGGTCAGCAAGTCCCAGGGATTCCCCCTGCCTCTGCCTTCCCAGTACTAGGATCACCCTCACATACAGCCCTGTTGCCTTTCTGCCTTTTTTCTTTCCTTCCTCTAAACATGACTGGTAGGGTCCAAATCCAGGGGCTCCTGTTTGCTGAACAAGGTCTTTATGGCCTGACCCATCCCCTGAGGGGAGCAACCATCTCTAAATAAATCAGTGGTGGTCTTCACTGTTAGTGGTTGGTACTTGAGAGTACAGACTTCTCTTTGGGATAGGTTGGAAGTCAGAACCTCAGGGGAAGGTGTACTTAGGCTGACTTTGATCGCTCTTGTGTAGTGAGAAGGTTCCAGGTAAGCACACTGTGCTCAGAGGCACAGAAAGGAGACTTAACTGGTGCTTGTGGGTTACTCAGGGCACTTCCTGCTTGGGATCCTGAGTGTTGGGCCACTTAAAGGAAAGTAAGAACGGATGGATACACTGTTGCCTCTCATATTGACAACAGTGTTCCTCACACTTAGTTCTTAGTTCTCAGTTCCTGTGTCCGTGCCTGGAGACAGAGTCTCAGTCTATTGCTGTGATCAAACACCAGGACCAAAGGCAGCTTGAGGAAGAAAAAGTTTATTTAATGGCTTACATTTACACGTTGCAGTCCATCACTGAAGGAAGTCAGGGCAGAAACTCACACAGGACAGGAACCTGGAGGCAGGAGCTGATGCAGAGGCCATGGAGGGGTGCTGCTTTCTGGCTTGCTTATCATGACTTGCTTAGCCTGCTTTCTTACAGAACCCAGGGATGGCATCACCCACAGTGGGCGGAACCCTCCCCCATCAACCACTAATTGAGAAAATGCCCCATAG